GTATCTTATATTATTAGATATGTTATTATAAAACATGCTTTAGTTAAGGAGTTATTGATACTTCAAGTGCAAAATGATGATATAAAACCTTGATAAAAATACACTTTTAAGTATCAATCAAGTAGCCATGTTATCAATCCTAAGTCGTGCAATTCAAAATGCTTTTTAGAGTGAAACATGTCTTAATGCAACAATATTTATTTGTGGAACATACTTCTTATAAAATGTTTTTTTACATGAGATATTATTGAGATAGGTATTATCTAATCTCAAAAGGATCTCTTGTTGTCCTAATGGTTACCCTCGTAAAGGTAATATAGGGTCTCAGTAAGTAGTGGGATGATGCGTATATCAATTACTATCAGTCCGAGCACTTAGTAAAGAGTTAGATGGTTTCATGAACTTCAACCCTAACTGAAAGTAATAGGGTAAGTTGTTTCTTCCCTGCCTAACCTAGCATTTCCATGTGTGTGCATTATAAAGCAATATATCACAAATAAACTAGTGATGGATGAAGACATTCATTCATATCCAACATATATGGATCAGCAAGATAAAACATGCTAAACAAATATTGTTGTCCTAGTGGTTACCCTCGTGAAGGTAATATAGGGTCTCGGTAAGTAGTGGGATGATGCGTATATCAATCACTATCAGTCCAAGCACTTAGTAAAGAGTTAGATGGTTTCATGAACTTTAACCCTAACTGAAAGTCATAGGGTAAGTTGTTTCTTCCGTGCCTAACCTAGCATTTCCATGTGTGTGCATTATAAAGCAATATATCACAAATAAACTAGTGATGGATGAAGACATTCATCCATATCCAACATATATGGATGAGCAAGATAAAACATGCTAAACAAATAAGCCAAATGAGAGAATTTAAACACATCAAATCAAATAAACGACAAAAAAACACATAAAGCCAAGTCCAAAACTATAAAAAAAAAAATGCCCCCTGTGAAGTTTCCATTCTATCGCACGTGGGTGCACGACATAGAGGGATGTCGAGATTGAGGAGTCATTAACTTTTTCACTTGTCATTTTGCTTCTTTACCACTAACTTGGATAATTTTTTAGGTTTTTTCATGTATATTTTCTTGTATATTTATTTTTTTTAATTTTTTTCCTGAGGTCCAAAATAGGTAACGACGTGTTGTGTTGTATAATTGGGATTACCATAGATTGATATGTGCACAAATAGTTTTCTTAGAAGAATATTGTGTTGATGCAATGCAAATAATCATTCACATGATTCAATTTTATAGTCATAAAATAATATAAAATTATTTTGGCAATTCCTTTAACATTTTAAATTAAAATAATTTTTTGATAGTGTAATTTGATTAAAGGGTCAGGATTGGTCTCATCCAACCCCGCTGACAGAGATGAGTACTATTTTCATTTCTTAACTTGAAAATTAAAAGGAAAATATAGTAAGCTCTCGAATAGTTTACCATTGGCTAGCATGTTGTTTCAATTAGAAATTACAGGAGTCATCCACATTTACTCTTTATGAGATCGGTATGCCTTTTCCAAATGCTAACCTGCATTTCATTATTATAAAATGAAGGGTTATGGGCTATCTGAATCCACTGGGCCAGTGTCCCTGTCAAATGGTCCGGAAGAAATTCGCCGTTGGGGCTCTGCAGGAAAGCTGACACCCAGTTGCGAAGCAAAAATTGTTGATCCTGATGCAAGTGACAGCTTGCCCCCAGGCAAGCAAAAGAAAAGCTTTGGATTATAGAAGCCACGATAATGAAAGGTAAAACCTTGGATTTCAATTAGGGACATGCCGCGCAGCACGCACATGAACGCCTTTATCTGTGAATGCATTTAAATATTTTGCCTGATGATCAAAAGTAAGATTCTGCTTATTTTTAATAGTGCCTTGAGCCCTATTGAGACTAAGATTTTGTGATGTCGCTGCAGGTTATGCTGGAGATCCTGGAGCATCTTCTGCTACCCTGGAAACAAATGGTTGGTTGAGGACTGGTGATATTTGTTATATTGACGGGAAGGTTTTTTATCTGTGGTTGACAGGCTGAAGGAACTAATCAAATACAAGGGATATCAGGTAAACTCTGTAATATCGATCTCAAAGTTTCTGGCTCGGTTCAAGCATATCAAGGAATAAGAATTAAGCCTAAATTGAATTCTGCCAGCAACTGGAATTACTATATATGCATGTTGCTCCTGCTGACCTAGAGCAATTGCTTCAGTCCCATCCAGAGATAGCTGAAGCCGCCGTGATACCGTAAGTTTTCACTCCTTTGAGTTCACGAGGGTCCTTTTTTCCCTTTTCCCTTTTCCCTTTATCATGATTTAGAGTGAGCAATTGATTCTGTGCTGAATTTGTGGAGGGATTAAAGAATTTGCTGGATTCTGTTGCGCTGTCTGCCAATCATGGTCCTCAATCAATAGATTCTGAGTTCTGATATACTGAAGAATTTGCAGATACCCTGATGAGGAAGCTGGTCAGGTGCCCATGGCTTTTCTGGTGAAACAACCTCACAGCAGCATCAATGAAAGAGGAATAACGGATTTTTTTGCAAAGCAGGTGTTTTTAATCTCAATGCTCGAAACTATTTTTCTTTTTGAGCTTACTGTCTAGTAGGGGTGGTTAACATGAATACATGGTTTTGGCAAGAATGCCCCAGCAAGGCTGTGGATTTTGGGTTCAGGGTTGCATAGAACATCACAATGTGCTGCCATCAAATCCTGAAGGCATCATAGTAGCCAAAAGTTTAGTAGATACCGTTCACAAATCTTCATACTATCATCTGCATCCACCTTCGGTGCTGCGTGCATGAATATCATAGAGCTACAGAGGATGTGCAAATATCATTTGTCTGCCTCTGGTCTAGTCTATTTATGCTCATCAAATTATTTACCCTGCCTGCATTAAAGATTCTAACCCATAAAAATGCTCTGCTGACATACTTTGCACAAGAGCAGGTCGCACCATACAAGAAAATAAGGCGCGTAGCCTTTGTCAGTTCCACACCAAGGAGCCCAGCTGGGAAAATATTGAGGAGGGATTTGAGGAACATGGCTTTTCCAGCACTGCCTTCATTGAAGATGTAATTTGCAGCTGATTTCGAACTATTTGGAAGTGCTCATCTTTCTCATCATATCCTCTAAGAATGAGTTATTTATAGCTGAAGACAGCAGACTGTTGACTGTAACATAGTAAACGAGGAGAACATTGTTTCCTGAGTAAAATGCTCAAGCACTCCTTGCGAAAATCTTTTATATTTATTTATTTTTATTTAAGCATCTTAATGTTTAATAATTTATTAGTCGAACCCCTTTTGGAAGTTTAAACACCATGATAAAATGAAAATACAGGAAATAAAATACAAAGGCTTGATTAAAAATAAAATAAAGAGCCACGCGTCCAGATGACAAACACGTTATCTGACCAATATAACCGTCGTGATAGCATAAAATAAATGAAACTTCACGGGAGCACTTGCGCTGGAAAAAAAATAAAAATAAAAAAGTTAAGCAACTCTTCTCTTGAAATCCCATCAACTTTTATATCAGAATTTACCATTTATCATGGGAAGAAATAACAAACGGCATGTCGTTTAGTCAACTCATCACCGCCTGCCCTCCCTTCTCTCTCGATTCAACAGGCGTTCATTCATGTCCCAAATCACCCAAACACTAAAGGAGAAATAAATCCCATTTCTTTTTATAAAATTATTCCAACGATATGGACATTCTTTACGCTCAGATCCAAGCAGACCTCCGTTCAAATGATGCTCTCCGCCAGACTGGCGCACTTCTCCAAGCTCTCCAGCAATCCGCAGCCGGTCGCGACATTTCTATCCTCGCCAAATCCGCCGTTGAAGAGATCGTCGCCTCTCCTGCCTCCGCAGTCTGTAAAAAACTCGCTTTCGACTTAATCCGTTCCTCTCGCCTCACCGCCGATCTCTGGGACACTGTCCTCTCCGGTATCCGCTCCGATCTCCACTTCCCTGATCCCGACGTCACTGCTGCTGCTATATCCATCCTTGCTGCATTGCCTTCTCATGCTCTCTCCAAGCTTATTACGGATTCCAACGCGGAAATATCTGGTTGTTTTGATTCGCAGAGTGATAATTTGAGATTCTCGATTACTGAAACCCTAGGCTGTGTTTTAGCACGTGATGATTTGGTTACGCTATGTGAGAATAATGTGAATTTGTTAGATAAGGTCTCGAATTGGTGGGTGAGGATGGGGGGGAACATGTTGGATAAATCGGATGCGGTTTCGAAAGTTGCCTTTGAATCAGTTGGGAGGTTGTTTCAAGAGTTTGATTCGAAGAGGATGAGTCGGTTAGCGGGGGATAAGTTAGTTGATAGTGAGAATTCATTGGCGATTAGGTCGAATTGGGTCTCTTCAATGGTGGATTTTGTGTGGAAGAGAAGGAATGCGTTGATGTCGAGATCATTGATCTTACCAGTAGAGACTTTTAGGGCTACGGTTTTTCCACTTGTGTTTTCAGTGAAGGCAGTGGCATCTGGGAGTGTGGAGGTGATTAGGAAGCTTTCTAAAGCAGGAACAGGCAGTGGTGTTAATGGGGGTGTTGTGGACTCGAATGCAGAGAGGTTGGTTGGGGTTTCGGATGTGGTCACACACTTGGCGCCGTTTTTGGTGTCATCGTTGGATCCAGCTTTGATTTTTGAGGTGGGGATTAATATGTTGTACTTGGCTGATGTGCCTGGAGGGAAGCCAGAGTGGGCTTCACAGTCTATTATTGCAATTTTGACACTTTGGGATAGGCAAGAGTTTTCTTCTGCAAGGGAGAGTATTGTTAGAGCTGTTGTTACAAATCTGCACCTACTTGATCTTCATATGCAGGTAAGATTTTTATTCTTATATTTACTAATTCCGTATATTGGGAGCAATGAGGCAGAATAACATTGACCAGCGCTGAAAACACTGTGCTTAGTAGTTGGTAAGTAGTGCCCTGAAAAGAGTGCATTAAATTTGCTTAGACTTCATTTGCTCTAATGGAAGCAAGGGAGGATTAAGAAATGCATTGTTCAATTGATGCGATTTTTTAACAACATTGTGGAATTTTTTCCCTAAATGAGGTCAAAGAAGATCCTCTGAGTAAAACCCTTGAGTAATATCTTGTCTTTTGTTAACTAGTTTTGGTCATTCATTGATGTGGTAAATTTTAATGCTTGAAGGTTTCATTGTTTAAGAAGCTGCTGCTTATGGTGAGAAATCTGAGGGCTGAATCAGACCGTATGCATGCTTTAGCTTGCATTTGTAGAACAGCACTCTGTGTTGACCTTTTTGCTAAAGAAAGTGTTAGAAGAGGTCAGAAACCTCTTGCTGGCACTGATATTGCCTCTCTTTTTGAGGATGCAAGGATAAGAGATGATCTCAATAGTGTGAGAAGTAAAAGCTTATTTAGGGAGGAGTTGGTGGCATCACTAGTGGAAAGTTGTTTTCAGTTGTCTCTACCTTTGCCTGAACAAAAGAGCTCAGGAATGGAGAGCAGAGTTATTGGAGCTTTGGCTTATGGAACTGGTTATGGTGCATTAAACTGGACAGAGCCAGCTTTGGAAGTTGTTGAAGTGTGCAGGCCTTGTGTCAAATGGGATTGTAATGGCAGGACGTATGCAGTTGATTGCTATTTGAAGTTGCTTGTGAGGTTGTGCCATATATATGATACCAGAGGAGGAGTGAAAACTATTAAAGATGGTGCTTCTCAAGATCAAATCATGAATGAGACGAGGTTGCAAAATTTGCAACGTGAACTTGTGAAAGATCTACGAGAGGTATGCACTGTTCTTTGAATATCATCGAAATTTGATGAAAGCCTGAGGTGTTAGCCATGCATGAATGTCACGTGAGTGGCAGTGCACTTTCCAGTTTATAGCATTTAGTGATTTTGCAGCTGATAAGAAGGATAGTATTTCTTGCTAACAAATTGGTAAACTTGATGACTTATATGTGGACTAAACAACAGTCTGGCTTTTGGCAACCATTGCCTTAAGACTTTTATGTTTCTTTGAATTTTGTGCAACGCCATACTTGTGTAAGCTTTCTGGTTATATGAGATAAACAAGCTAAATGCTTGCTTGATGTTCATCAGTGACACGAGGCCTTTTATTAACAAATGTAATGCTAGAGTAGCTAGCTCTTCTTCTGTGTATGCATCTTGATTTCAACTATCAGTTTTGTAGCTGGTTAGCAGTGCTTTTCATGTTACCCGTTTCATGCTCTGTTGATGGTGCTTGAAAATTCTGTGGCATGTAATGTTGAGTTCTCTATCATGTTTGGAACTCCAAGTTCTTGATGGATCAACTATTTTTATTTTTGAGTGCTTTCTGCGACTGTCAGGAGCTAAAGAAACACTCATTTGGATAAATATGTAGTTAAAATCAACGTTATATGGTTGTTATTTCTCAATGGATTTATTTTCCTCAATGTTAAACTCTAAATTCGTGTTTGTTTATTTCTTCCTTTCCTCCATTCTACTTTCAAGTTCTAAATACTGATTTTATTCCAAGTTAACAAAGGCTCAATGATCATCTGCCATCTTACTTCTCTGTCAATTTAACAGGTAAACACCCCAAGAATTTATGCCCGTCTTATTTGGGCTATTGCTGAACACATAAATCTAGAGGGTTTGGATCCACTTCTAGCTGATGATCCTGATGATCCACTGAACATTATTATATCAAATATCCACAAGGTTCTATTTAATGTTGATTCGCCTGCAAATACATCAAATAGGCTTCAAGATGTTCAGGCAGTTCTTTTAAGTGCTCAGAGATTGGGATCACGAAGCCTTAGGGCTGGCCAGTTACTGTCTAAAGAGCTTGAAGAGTTTAGAAACAATGGTTTGGCTGATTCGGTCAACAAGCACCAATGCCGCTTGATATTGCAGAGGATTAAATATGTTCAAAATCATCCTGATAGCAGGTGTGCATTTCTGCTCATTACCATAATTCTGAATTTGAGAGTGACAAAGTTCTGATATTATTTTTATTATTGAACCTGCTAATGATATTGAATATTATAGCAACACGGTGTATGATGTTCTGTCTCTGAATCTTCCCTAGTTTTTATCTGTATCCAAGAATGTGCTTTCCATACATTATTTCCTCATGCTTTCTCCAGATTGAGCTGTAATGTGCTGCATCATTTTGATGACATGGAACTGGGTGAAACCCAGTTGGTTTTCCTGTATGTTGGATATACATGTGTCTCTGCATCTTTCTACATTAGGCTTCTAGCTAGAAGAATTCTTTTATTCCTGTCCTTGTGATCAAAAGTGCCTTACTTCCCATTAGTTTCACAGTTATTGACTCTTCCTTCACTCCTTTCACCCATGGCACATTTTGGGCTTTTGCACACGTTTTCCCCATACACTTTAATGAAATCTTCAGAGCTGTTTTCTCAAGCCTTGCCAATTATTATTTCTTAAGGTGTTCAAAGATGATGTTGGTATATGAGAAGACCTATGCATGTCTTCAAATGCAATTATTATTTCTTTTGAAGCACCATGCATACATTGATAGAAGCACACAAAATTGTTTTCAAACACAATTTCGTGCGCTTCTATCATTGTCTGCATGATGTATTTATTGGTACATGAGAAGACCCATGCACGTCTTCTCTTGTCCATGATATTCATGCGATACAAGGAAGCCTAGGCTAGAAATGTCCCCTTTGTTTCTCAATTTTTCTTTGGGAATCTTCTTTTACTCAAAAACTAAAAAAGTAAAAAGAAAGATATTTTGAGAATTCACAAGCTCAGGCATCTCCTCACCTTCTTTCTTCTATTTTAGCAATTTGTTAATTATTGATTTGAAGCATATGCTTTTGATAGTAGTAAACTAGAAATAATTTTAGTTCAATTATTTTTCGATTTGTTTTCTACAATTCTCACCGGCCTTTCTTCTTAAACACATGGTAATAATATTGTTATGTGAACATATTTTTTTACCAAAAAAAGAAACGAAACAAAGAGAAATTTGCTATGCATAGAATTGAGATATGACATTTCTCTCTCAGGTGGGCTGGCGTTAGCGAAGCCAGAGGAGACTACCCATTTAGCCACCACAAACTTACTGTTCAGTTTTATGAAGCAGCTGCTGCTCAGGACAGAAAATTGGAAGGATTAGTTCACAGGGCTATTTTAGAGCTTTGGAGACCAGATCCAAGTGAATTAACTATTTTGTTGACAAAAGGAATTGACTCTCCACTGCTCAAGCTTCAGCCTACTGCACATACTTTGACTGGTAGTAGCGATCCTTGCTATGTTGAAGCTTATCATTTGGCAGACTCGGGTGATGGTAGGATTACTCTTCATCTAAAGGTTAGCTTTTTCATACTCATAACAGTCTTGGATTCTTCCATTGACCAATATAGCAGTTTTTTCTGTATAATATAGCATAAAATGAATTAGTAATTAAAAGCTTGAAGTCAAGTACTTCCGTATCATGACTCAGTAGCTCTCCTTATTCAAGTACTTCCACAACATGACACCATAGCTCTCCTTATCACTAAAATGAGGGATATTATGAACAAAATAAATGGAGTGGTGGATAAGAGTCAAGATGTAACTAAAATTTCATTTCGTACAAATTCTTGGACCCAAATTAATGTTTAAAAGAACATGTCACTAGCAGTTTGTTTCTCATGAACTCTACTTGATAGAGCATTTGTGCTTACACAACAATATTTGATTTAATGATTGCATTGTAGAAATTTCATGCACAATCCAATCTCCCCCCTGTCAATATTAGGGTTGAAAGTTTTAAGTTGTGTTTGGATCACTTGGTCTGTAGTTTGTGCTAATTGCAATTGATTGAGGAGTCAACTTATTTGTATTCTAATAACATTTTCTAGCATAGCAACTTACTAATATTGCAGTTATTATATAAGCTATGAACGGAATACCTTGGAGGTTAGTTTCTACACATCAGAGAAACCAAAAAAGAAGTTAAAAGCATAGTAATCTCTTACATTTTTCCTATGCTGTAGATGTTGCTATGGAGATACATTCTTTTTTTGTTGATCATACTCACTCTGAACTCTTTGCAGGTTTTAAATTTGACTGAACTTGAACTGGATAGGGTGGATATTCGAGTTGGGTTATCTGGTGGATTATATTTTATGGATGGATCTACTCAAGCGGTGCGACAGTTGCGTAATCTTGTTTCACAGGTATCTTTTTGTACTGTCTCAAATACTTGTTCTTCCTAAAATTGGCACTGTTTCTTTTCCGTGTGTGACTTTGCAATGCACTTTTCTTATGCTCTTTTTATCATTTGATAGACAATTTTTTTTATAAAAATATCAAAGCAAATTTATAAATGTTATTGATTGGATGTTCATTCTGGAAGGATATGACCTTTTGCCGCTAAATACCTTCCTTCTGGGTACCTCTTTTGTTAACGGATGTTGGGTTTCTGCTCGTAAATTTTATGGCACTGGATGCTATTCCTCTTACACCATTGTTAATACTGTTTGTTTTCAGTGTTCTTTTTTTTTTATTGCAATATCTTTGATCTGTGCAATTGATTCTGTGCATTGATTCTGTGCATAGGATCCAGTACTTTGCAGTGTTACATTGGGTGTGTCCCATTTTGAGAGATGTGCCCTCTGGGTTCAAGTCTTATACTACCCATTCTATGGAAGGGGTGCAATAAATGATGGTGATTATGCTGAGGAGGATCAACAGATCATGAAACAGAAGAGAAGCTCGAGACCAGAACTAGGAGAACCTGTGATATTGAGGTGCCAGCCTTACAAAATTCCACTGACTGAACTTCTTTTGCCGCATAAAATTTCGCCTGTTGAGTTCTTCCGCTTATGGCCTAGTTTACCAGCTGTAGTAGAGTATACTGGCACATACATTTATGAAGGAAGTGGCTTCAAGGCCACTGCTGCGCAGCAATATGGTTCTTCTCCTTTCCTCAATGGACTAAAATCATTGTCTTCCAAGCCTTTCCACAGAGTTTGTTCACACATCATCCGCACAGTGGCAGGGTTTCAGGTAGGACTCTCTATTGTTTGAGGTTTTAACTATTAGAGCTGTCCACTAGAACTCATCCCTTTCTCGTTGCTCATGCTATACAACTCACGTCAGTTACATTCGATTTTAAATTGGCTAGTTCCTATCATATTTCACCAGCTTGAACTCGGAAAGAAGCCAATGTTATTGTACCTTGTGTAGTTTTTCTGAAACTATTTAATGTGTTCTGTCAAATAAAATTTGAAGTTCCCCTATTGTGTGACAGCTTTGCTATGCTGCCAAAACGTGGTATGGAGGCTTCTTGGGCATGATGATATTTGGAGCCAGTGAAGTGAGCAGAAATGTTGATCTGGGTGATGAAACAACAACAATGATCTGCAAATTTGTTGTCCGAGCATCTGATGCGTCAATCACAAAGGAGATTGAAGCAGACTTGCAGAGCTGGTTGGATGACCTTGCTGATGGAGGTGTGGAGTACATGCCTGAAGATGAAGTGAAAGAGGCTGCTGCTGAAAGGCTTAGGATTTCAATGGAAAGAATAGCCCTGTTTAAGGCAGCCCAACCACCACCCAAAACTCCAAAATCTGATGATGAAGAGGAGGAGGAGAAAGAGGATGATGAGGAAAAGAAAGAAAATGAGAATGGTGGCGATAAGAAAGAGCACAAGGAAGATGGTAAAAAACCAAAAGGAACCCTGTCAAAATTAACCGCAGAGGAGGTTGAGCACATGGCTCTTCAAACAGCCGTGCTCCAAGAATGGCACGTTCTGTGTAAAGAAAGAAGCACGACAGTAAATTAGTGACAATCTTTTGCCATGATTGTGAAGAGAGTTAGATAGCATTCTTTGTACCTTCTAGAATTCTAGTTTTGACATCTGCAAAATTTGGTTGCCGAGCGTCTTCTCATTTTTTAGTCTCCCTTTCTTTTACGAGGATATCCCTTGTACATCATCATGCGCCGGCCTGTCAGTGTTTCAGTTTGCTCCTTTCTGCTTTGAAACCCGGATTGTTTTGTTTTACTTTTTTCATTTTCGAGAGAGAATTATTTTGTACCCTTTGGATTGAAAAAGAAGTGAAATTTTGTGTTAGACGACTTGATTGGTGGCTGTGGCCCCAGCACCAGCACATTTACTTTCAGGTTTATCTTGTGCTAATACAGGCATCTTCCCAATAAGCAAAAATTGGAGCCCCATAACCCATGTTGAACGAATTGATTGAGGGCAAGCTAGAGTAACAGGAGATAGATTTGTCAGTTTTGCAAGTGCTTTCCACGGATTATAAATCTGTTTCCACTCCAATCAAGAGAATTCAGTTCTGTTGATTTCTCATCCTGGCAACAAACCCTAGGTAGGGGCAAACTCAACAGTGTATAAGGATATAAAGGATGAAGAGCATGCAGGATGGTCTAATAATTATCTTGGACATTGACGATACATACACATGAAATTTATAACTTGACATGAGCTGTCACTTAACTGGATTTCTTATTTCAAGAAAAGAAACGAGGCAAAAAAAGAAGAATAATTTGATATCGTTTATCCCTTTTTTTTAATTAAGTGAAACAAGGGTTTAAATTTTCCATCTCTTTAAACAGAGTGTTATAGGTAGTAACTTAGCATCATTCTCAATTAAATTCCACTTGTATTCCACAATCCTCCAATTTCCCCTATATGTTGAATTTCTGTGGAACAGGGTCAAAATCATCAAAGTCAAATCTCTGACGCTCTCTTCCAACCTAGACAAACACAGGAACAAACTGATTAGCGCACGCTATATCCTAAACAAGCTCAGCTTATATGTATTACAGGAATCGATGTAATAAGATTACCTTTGCCAAGTACGAAGGATCGCATGATATGAGTTCATCCATTGCGGTCAGCTTCTTTGACAGTGTCATTATCCTAGTATAACAAACATGGTGGAAGATAAGGAATTACCAAAATATTCATCGAGACTGAAATGCAGCTACAACCTAGTAAATAGGTTTGGCTGGATATTGAAAGTCATTTATCCTGTCATTTATTACTGTGAAAATAACATAACACAATTTATATTTATGGTTTACCGAACCATCAGATGCAAAGCACAGATAGTGAGTTTATCATGATCTATTCAAATGTCAATCAATATACTCTTAAGAGAAAATAAAATAAAATCATGGAGACTTCAATTCGGTTTTGACAAAGACATCCTTATGTGCTTAAGTAGATTTATGAGATTTTGTTCCATAATTACGATTCCTTCGAGGTAAACATACTGCTCAGTGTTAACAGATGAGTACACGGTTATGGTTCCATTGAAGTGGAAATTTGAGAGAGGGTACTTGCAGATAGTCCAATTTTCATCACATGGGCATGGTGTAGTTGTTCACAAGACTCAACTTGCACCCTCAGGTTGCAGGTCTGAGGGTGCAGGTCTAAGACTATTGACATTGATTGTAACAATGGCCATTAGAGCAGGTTCAATTTTATCCACCAATATTTTTCACTGGAAACTACTGGCAGAATGGAAGTATTTCACTTATAAATAACAGTTTAAAATTCCAGCTACTGTACCTCTGAATAGAAGAATCAATATGCTCAATCATCTCACAGGTTTTATATTGCTCCGGATCCTCTAAGAATCTAACCATACCATCTCTTTGGTTGATTGTTGCATATATCTCACCATCTTGGATCTACAATTTGAAATAAAAAATGTTAATTTGTATTATGGTATAAGATATAGGTGTGCACTATTAGTGATCTAGTTACTATAAGTATTTTGCAGTAAATGGATCACATAAGAAATGAAAAAAATAATATATATGAACATGCTGCATGCTTAACATCAGAGATAATTGCATGAGGTACTACCATTTGAAGCACATGCATTTCTGCCTCTTTAGGACTGCTGAGTTGTACAGTGTTCGCAATATCTTGGAGGGAAAGAGTCAAATATGTTTGGGTCAATCTCTGAATGTTTCTCTTATACATTGATGATACAACCTGCTTCACCAATCCAAGATTATTGTCCTGAAAAAGAAGATAGAGCCAATTTTAGATGATGAAGAGATCTTATATTTGTCTTAGGAAGTGAAAATGCGAAATGTGTGCTTGTAGACTCACGCTGTCAAACTTTTCTCTGTTTGTCTGAATGTATGACTCTAATTCTGAAATTTTTCCAATGCTATAAGTATTTGCCAATTCTATATAGGGCTGCTCAAAGGGTAAAAATAAATGTGTTAAGAGAGCAGAACCCAACTAAAACTTCAAATCTCACCTGCATATATCTATATGATTGCAAAACAATTCTGCATGCAAAGACGCAAACACTGTTGATGGTGTAAACAACAAATATTTCACTAAAAAAGAATAAAGAATTTCCACTTATTTCATTTGATAGACATAAGAGAACCTCAGATCAATATGGAACATATCATCTTAAACTAGATTCAACCAAGCAGATCCCTGGTAAATGCAGCTTTCATTTGGGAAAATTAGACTAGAATTCCATCATAGGAAGCTGGGTAGTCACATGATAAGTTTAGGTTCATGAGAAAGGTCTTTTTTGTAAAATGCATACTTCAAAAGAAAGAAAAATGGTGCTTACTAAAATGCATACTTCAAAAGAAAGAAAAATGGTGCTTACTTTCTACTCACACATAAAACAGCATAATTATGGTTCTATTGTTTTTGCAAGCTATGTTACAAATTCAGTTAAACAACTTCTCAATTTTTTTCTCAAGGATGCAATGACCCTGGCTGATTAAAGTATCAATGCAAAAACTATAAATCAATTAAAAAAAAAATGCCAGCAATGTACATCATAAATTTGAAATTACCTGACATATGGTCTTTAGATTCCTCTGAGCTGCTGAAGAAGTGTACTTAGGTAGACTGGTAGAGAACTGCTAAAAAAAGAAACATAAAATGATGTTTCAAAGACATTAAACGAGAAATGAATTATAGATGATCTTGGGGTGTCAAAGCTTGGCAGGATGCACATCCAAGCCAATGAAGAATAAAACTGGAGTAAGAAAAACATGACCTTAGAAAACTAATTACTTGTAAGCACACAAGCATCATTCAATTCCCAAGAAACAGCTCCTAAGAGTATGCTATCTTTCTGAATAACCTTACATCCCAAATTCATTTGGTAAATGTCAAAAGAACACGGCATACCTGTCCATTGTAAATTAGAGAAACCAATACATATTTTTTGAATGCTTCAACAGCTATAGCATTTATAGAAGACATAGGAGCAGTCACGACCTGAAATGAGTTTGATGCAATTAGGAACAGTAATAAAGTCATACCATTACACTATTATTGAATAGCCAAAGTGGATGAACAGATCGCAACTAGATCACATACATTTTGTAGAAGCTCCAGTGCTTTCTGAAAACGCTTTTGTCCAATGCATATCATCCCCCTGTCATGATGTCAAATGTCAGATGCACTCAAAGAAATTCCTCATCTATATGAGAGATAACAAATTGGCTGCAAGATGCTTAAATGATTTGTATCTGGGAGAGGTTAAGGCTATCTAATAATCAAAAGCATGAAACTCCCATGTCTTTTCATGTCTGCTTATTCTCTGTGAACTGAGAAATTCTTGATTTCACCATTTTAAGACTCAAGGGTTTTGGCACACCAGCAAACCCATTAAAGTCTAAAAAGGCTCCCAAGGGAATTAAGATTGAGGCTCCTCCATGGGAATACGCCTAACTACCATGCACATGTTCTAACCTTAGCTTAGCTAAAAAGCAATCCTGGCATGGTTGAATTACATAATTATCAAAAACAGTAAAAATTCTGACTATTCAGTAGACAAGAACAAATTATTATGTTTCTTGTTAGTAAACTAAATTCCTAATTTAAAATGTGTAAGTAAAAAAAAAAAAATTGTAGCAAATGCATCCATTGATTGGTTTAAACAAATAATGATCTTCAAAGCATGAGCCGTATGAACAACAAGAAATCCTATGAAGCTAATGATTATCGCTTTAATGCAGAGAAACTAAAGATGTCACAAACAAAGAGAAACCAGACACAATAATAATTAACTGAACAACAGGAGATCACAAGCAAAGCAGCTTGGCATAATGAAAGTAACAATGGCAACAAATGAAACAGTACACATAAGGTCTAGTAGCAAGGGCAGCAAGTCACCCATAATAACAATAGAGATAAAAATCCCTTGGTTGATCGACTTCAAAAATATCATCCTCCAGAATGGAAAGACCAGTTTTATAGCACTTTGCCAACAAACAAAGTTGAAGAAAATCTGGATGCAAAGTAGTCAAATGTTCGGAGGAGCGTAGCTTTTTCACAGCTTCCAGCAAAGGGAGCACACCACGGATAGGTGCTTCAAGCATCAGCACTTGGTCTTTGAAACTCTTACAGACAGAGATGACTACCAACTCAAAAAGATAACTAGCATCAATTAAGTGCATTGAAAAACAATACTACAAGACAATAGACACAAATCAAACACATTTTAAATTTAATCCAGGGTGAAGAAAGATTGGTACACTTTTCAGGCGCCAAACGAATCTGATCTGCAACACAAGATGTGAGAAACCTGGAAAGGATCAAAACCAGTCTTCTCGCTTGCTCGTTGGTAACTGGCCAAGAAGTGCATGCCTCTCTGCCACCCACATACACAAGTTCAAACAAAAAATCCCACAAGAGTAACCCATTCTCTACACTAAATCAACAATAATATCACACCCTTTTTTTTCCTAACCATATCAATTTGAGTAAAGAATCTCATCTTTCTTAAATTACGACAATCATCGAATTCTATCGCAACGAAGACACAATACTTCCTAAATTTCCCTTTTCCAAGCAGTGAAAATATCTCAAAAACACACAACAATATTACATAGCCCCAAAACCCTAATAATAATAATAATTTAACAAACTAAAACCCTAAGCATATCAGAGTGCACAAATTTAAAAGGGAAAAAAAAAGAAAGGAAAGGAAAGAATAATGCTGCAACTCACAAAATATAAAGATAACCAAGAGAGTGAAGAGTCGGGTCGAGCTGTTCTAGAAAAGGCAAGAGCCGAGTAGACTCATTGTGCAGAAACTCATCTGCTTGTTTCAAGTGAGTCAACAACAAACTTAAATCCCCAGCGCTGCTTGATAACCCTTGGATTTGCGCCACCAGCGATTCTACCGTAGCCATCTTCTCTATCTATTTCTTCGTTTTCAATCAATTAATTACATAATTAAATAAACCAAACATAAAGATAATTGAATTGGGAGATTTTTTTTTCTCGTTTTGTTTTGGAGAGAGAGAGAGAGAGATTTCAAAAGGCGAGCAAGCTGCAGTCTAGTTATTTATTATCACCATGAACAATTCTCAAGGAAAACTAAAGCGATTTTACTGTATTCGATCGGTTTGTTTTTGTATTTAAAAATATTTTAAAAGAAATTTGAAATTTTTTATTTATTTTTTAAAATTAATATTTTTAAATTATTTTAATATATTAATATTAAAAACAAATTTAAAAAAAAACATTATTTTTATCATCCTCACATTTTCCTATTGTAAGCGTTATACCACTGCCTTTTTGGCCTTTCAGCCGCATTTTCTTTAAAAAAAATTTTTTTTCGGATTTCGTTTAACGCGTGCCTATGTCAGCAATTGTTTTGGTATTTAACTGCATGTTGATTTCATATGGGAAAGTTTAAGATTGTTGCAAATGACGAAATTAAAACATATGAAATAAAATTTGATATTTATAATAATTCAGTCTTTTTCCCATGTTTATTTACTGTTTGTAAATCTACACTTTGAGCCCTCAAGTTTAAGTATTTTTATATTTGGTCTCTCTTATGTATTGATTTTTATGATTCCCCCTTCATTGATTCATTGAAAAGTAGGTAAGTATTTTTAATATAAATTATTTGATTTTAAATTTTTAAACCGGTTATAACATGTTACCAAAATACTTCAATTTTATTTGTTGAAGATCAATGGAAATATCAGCAAATAGTTCTTTAATAGGTACAAATTAACCTAATATGCATAATTTTCTAAATGTATTTGAAATATCTAGTTTTAAAATTTTTATTGTAAGTTTTTTATGTAATTTTTCTTGGTATTAGTTTTTTTATATCTTTTTAATACATTCACATCATAATTATCAATTTATTATTTTATTTTATTAAAGCTTGTTTTTTAAGATTATAATAAGTTTTTATTTAAAAAACAAAACTTCTAATAAAAAATTTATTTTATAAAAAAGCACGCATTAAGAAAATTGAATTGGATTAAAATGATACTTTTTAGAGTTATTTTTTTAATAATGATTTTAATTATTTACAGTTATATGTAATAAACAACATGAATAGAAAAAGATAAATTAAAAAAATTAATATTAATAAAAATAAAAATTTATTCTAACAATTATCATTTCACTACAATCCATTTTTATAGACACATAATTAAATAAAATATAAATCTGAAGAGAACTCTATGTCATGAGATGTATCTATTTTTTAACCCTTTTGTTATTGTATTTAATTGATATTCACAACTTAGTTTATTAGTTTTTTTAATTCTCATTGTATTTCGTTTATCAACTTGCCAATTCTTAATTAAATTTAATTGCGGTAAAATAAATATAACAAAACATTTTGGGCAATTGGCCTAATAATTGATACCCAAAATAGTATGGGTACCAGTAAATTACCTTTATCTTGAAAAAGGAACATTGTTTCTCCTTTGATGCATGACAACGCAGCTCTCGTCTCCGCCTGATGTTAATCAAGTTTGGAACATGATGACTTTGGGAGTTATATGTTAATAAAAAAATATATTAAAATTTGTATGTGTGTGTGTCTATATATATATATATATATATCGTGGGAATGGGTAGTTTTGTGATCTCAATTGGGGGATGGTTACCTTTTGACATGTAGGGATCTGGTTGATAGAACGATTTAATATAAGGACTAAATGTTTTTCGTTTTGAAACATTGAGGACTAAAAGCTTCGACTTGAGGTCTATTAAATTCAAGGAACAAAATAAAAAAGAATCGAAGGGATAGAGACAGATGTTTACTGCTTTAAATCGAAGAAAATAAAAAGGGATTGTGTTTATTAGGGAAGAGAAGAGGAGAAGAGAGGAGAGAGGGATTGTGTTTATTAGGGAAGAGAAGAGAAGAGAAGAGAGGAGAGGAGATCAAGAGAAAATGGGAGATTATCATTTTGTGTACAAGGATGTAGAAGGAGCTTCAACACAATGGGATGATATACAGAGGAAGCTTGGAAACTTGCCAGAAAAACCACCTGCTTTTAAGCCACCGCCTTTCACTCCAGCTTCTGATCAAGATTCTATCCCTAAAGACAAATCCTTTATTGATTCCAAAACTGAAGAGGAACTTGAGTTCCTTGAAGATGATCTCGATCTCGATGACGACCGCTTCCTCCAAGAATACAGGTCCCTTTTTTATCAATTCATTCAACTAAGTTTTTCTTGCTGTTTCTGTCTAGGGTTTCAAATAATTGAAAAAAAAATTACATGCATTGGGATTTAGGATTCCTCTATGCTGAGTCGGTAATTCGGACTAGAAGATTTTATTTATTCATTTTTTTTTTTTTGTTAAAAGACAGAAGATTAGCAAAAGATCTACTCTTGCTGTTGTAAGAATGTGTCTGCAAGCTAAGTTGTTTTTGGTTTTTCTGGGGGGAAAGAACTTTGATTTTGACTGATTGTCGCTGAAATTTAATTCAAAGTTTTTTGTTTTTTTCTAATAGGAAGAAGAGATTGACAGAAATGAGGGAGGCTACAAAGATTGTCAGGTTTGGATCAGTGGTGCCGATATCGGGTTCGGATTTTGTGAGGGAAGTGTCGCAGGCAGGTCCGGATGTTTGGGTTGTGGTGCTTTTGTATAAGGATGGGTATGCGGAATGTGGTGTGCTTATGAAATGTTTGGAAGAATTGGCAGTGAAATATCCAGGGACAAAGTTTGTTAAGATTGTGTCTACTGATTGTATACCGAATTATCCTGATCATAATCTTCCTACCTTGTTGGTTTATAATAATGGTGCTGTGAAAGCTAACTATGCCGGATTAAGGAGTTTTGGACGGAGATGCACACCTGAAGGTAATTTCTCATGTTTGGCTTCTGATCTGTTGTTTTTTAGTGCTTAAGGTCTGTGCTTTCTGTTGTTCGGTGCTTCCTTTTCATTGTTTCAGTTTATACATTTTATCGGCTTTTGTTATAACACCTGCATCCCCTAAAAATTATTTCGTTAGTTTTAACGAATAAAGTTGTCAGGCGTGTTCTGCGAGAATATCCTGTATTTATAAAATGTTATGTGGTCTAGTGACTGTAATTCTCCATGATGTCATATACTGGTTTGTCTAGGAAAGGAAATTCTGGAAGATCGGCAATGAGCTTTCTAGAGAACCAAAATGAATGAAACATTTTTACGAGACTTAATAGATTTGGCAGTTTTTACGCAAAATGCGTTTTTAAATCTAAGCCATGGATGTTTGAGCGATGCCATTTCTGAATATTTAAATTTTTGTGAGCACCCCAAGTAAGTGGCATGATTGATTTTTTACCTTCTTTTCCATGCTTTGTACTAAATAGAGATATGCATAATACAATACATATTTCTATCTGGTCTTGCAATGATGATTATATCACAAAATGCCTGAGGTCGAAATAGTATAGAAGGTAGAAATCAAAGTTCCTCTTTCAGTGTAAAACTCTTCTTTTATATTAAAAAAAATTCCTGAACGAAAGCGTTGTTAGATTTAAGATCATGAGAGGATTCTCTTGGCAGGACATGTAGCAACAGATGACTATGATCTTCCCCCCCAACCCCCTTTTTTATTATTATTAACCCACATCCCACATGTTATCCTGATACTGCCAATTATTATTATTATTAACCCACCTGTTATCCTGATACTGCCAATTTTTCTTCTTTTCCTCTCAAACTAGGTGTTGCCCTAGTTCTCTGCCAATCAGATCCTGTACTAAATGATGGTCAGGGTGGAACTGATAGATCAAGAGATTCTGTGATTGAAGGAGTTCGGAGGAAGCTCATTGAGAAGGTTGTGAAGGAGCATGAAGATGATGATGGATCATCAAGTGATTAGGACTTTTAGCTTTTCCTCCCCCCTCCTCTTTTGTGTTTCTGCGAGGGAGAGAAAGAAAGTTGTGTTGTATGCAAGCAGTGTAACTTCTTTACTTTTTGGATATTTGTTGTTTCACAATCAAGTTTGTTGGTTTGTCCGTCTTCTGAAACCTAGATGTGTTGATATTGAAAATTTTAGTTTGAAAATACTAATTACTCTGTAAGAATTTTGTTTGAAAGTATTTATTTAATTGTCTGCAATCAATTTTCATTCAAACTTTAAGCTTAGTTTAAAAATATTGCTCCTTGCCGTTTTCATTGGTTTCAGCCCTTTCTAGGAGAGTTTTCTTATTTATACAAGGGAAAATTACCTTGACTATCCACGCAATTTCACCTTTGCTTTGTAGTTTCTGAAATTATACTTTACATAGCAGGTCAGCATAATTTTAAATTTTGATAAAAAGATAAAACTTACTGTATCACCTCAATGACCCAACCTTAGAAGGATATGAGTAATTTTCCCTTTATATAATTTAAAGTCACTTATTGTTAACATTAAAGAATTGGGAGGCCTTGAATGCAAATGATGCATGCATGGAAAGGTTGAGAAAAATCCGCAGACAATTGCATGAAACTTCTATAGCTCTAGCGCGGGGTTGTATATTGTGCAGGAAGTTGAATGTACGTATTCAAAAGCATAAATACATACCAAGGCAAAACTACAGCGAAATGCTATGTTAGGGCTGTTGACTTGATGCTTGCTTTTGTGACAGCTGATCCTGCATTATAGAAGTCCTGCCACAGTGCCCTCCTGTGTGCTTGGTCTTCACTGGTGCTCTGTTTCTGTGATCTGAGTTTTGAGCAAGTAATGGTTGAACATCTCATATGCCAGTGGCTATCCTATTGGTTATGGCTATCCCCTATTCAAGAAATTCTGCCAATTGTAATTGCGAGGCTGCCGGGATTTTTTGCTCATATTGGACTACAGCCTATGCAGCTGAAAACTATCGTCTGTGGTGGCCCTAAGGTGCTGGTTTTATGGTTGCGTTTAGTTGAACTATCGGTTTGTTGTTTTGTTTTTGAGCCACTGGGTTTGTTGCGGCTGAAATTTGTAGCTGCAATGGTTTTCCTTGTTGCTGCCCCCCAC